TTTGTTCTTTTCTTATTTTAACAGAAAAACAGAATAATTTCTCTTATAGGAAAGTCTAAATAGTGTCAGAGTAGAATAAACTGTAAAAGAAAAGTATATGTATAGGTTGATAAAAGAACAATCTTTTGACACATAGCGGTTAATTGTGTTTGAAGAAGTAATCAAATCAATTAGAAAAGAAATAAAGTTCCTGTATACATCTGTATAAAAAGTATTCTAAAATGAAATGTTGTGTAACAGTGGAATACAGGAATAATCTCAGAATAGAGGCATACCTCCCGAAGCATAGCTCTCTTGCACTTATTATAGAAATATTAGGTTGTATTCTCCTAATGTTTGTTGCTTAACTGAGTAGTATTAATCAAAAGACATATATATCCAATGCTAACAATAAAACATAGTACTGCCTTCCCATGATATTGTCTTTTTTAATATTTGAAAATAGTTGAGAAATGCTTATATAGTACACTACTCTACATATACAAATAAGAACAACATTATTATAGTTTTTCAGAAAAAAGTAAATTCGAACAGAACAAAACAAGATCAAAAGAAAGAAACATACAAGCGTCATCTCTGCCGAGTTGACTTTATGTAAACAGGAATAATGTTCAACATAAGAAATCATTAAAATAAAATTTTCAGCAATAAAGATTAGATAACCGAGCTCAAAAGGAAAGGCAACGCGGCGTCTCGCAATATCTCTCTCATGAAACTCGCAAATCGTTTCTTCAAAAAGCAGTTATTAAGGTTTTATACGTTTTGTTCTGTTTAGGTCCAATTAACTAATGAATCGACGCCAGTTACTCGGAAACGTTCACGACAATCAGCATCTCGTACACCGCGAAAACGAACAAAGCGTTTCTAGTGATGATAATGCTGCTCCTATTTCCAGGTACCAGCTTCGTGACCGATCAAAATTAATCAGAACATCTTATGATCATATGGTATTTTACGACGTTACAGATGATGAAAGAGATGATGAACTTATGGATAATGAGCTATTATCGGATAAAAAGCTTCTACAGTTCTTGCAATTCAAGGATCAAAATAATGAAGCTATTAGAATTAGAATATGGAACATGTCCTACACTACTTCAATTGAAAAAATTAAGAGCTACACTTAATAAAAATATCCGAATTAGGAAGTGTAATAACGGTAGGTTCAATTGTGAGGAAGTACAGACGGAAATCAGAGACCGTAAAAACTATAAATCTTTGTACTTTTGCTAAAAAGTTATAATCAGGTGAGCTTCTGATCCTTGTAAAACGTCGAATAATATGCGCACTTATGTAAAATGATCACATTAGAAACTGTTATTTTTTGTTTACAGGAGCATATTTGAATGTGAACGATGCCGTTAAATTATTAATTCATAGCGATCCATCAATAATAGATAATGCATCAGATGACGTGATCCGTATTAAACATAATATGGATGGCACGACAATAGGGGCATCCACAAATTTTTTGATGTCAACAATCAGTTGCGTTGAATCTGGTATTAATAAACAATCGGCCACAAACGTTATACTGCTAGGACAATTTAAATTTAACAAGGAAAATCGTAGTGAAATTGAACGGGTCATCCCCGATGAATTTATCGATATGATGGAAAAGAAATTAGTGTGTTTAAAGAATTTGAAATTGGAATTAGACTTCATAAGTGCATCTATACTAAAGGATGATTGCTTTGATATTCTTCAAAATGTTCAGAAACAATTATGTCATAATATCGAAAATGTGTAAATTGCATCGTTTCTATCAACAATCCGCAGGATTGAAGATCGATAAAAACAAAATCAAGCAAAAAATTCTAACAATCTGCTGACACTCGTTGATCAATTACCGCAGGTGTTTCTGAATACTATGATTCAAACCTGACATTATACTAAACACTTTTAAGTGTTTTATTTCACTCACTCTTTATCATAGTTGTCTGCAATAAAGAATGACATGAAATATTTTCATGAATAGAACTTACTAATAATAATAGTGTCCTTGCATTCATCTGAAGCTCGCAGACAGTCAGTTTGGAAAAGAAAATGTCCGAATGGAAAAATATGTTTATATTCGATATAAAAGAGATAAGAATAAATGAGATATAGACGACAGAAATCATGTGTTATTGTTGTTGTAGAAAAATCAATCGTCGAACACTAAGAAATATCTGTCAGTTTCTCTTTCGTGCATATGGATCTTGAAAAATAGATTAGATAATAAAACATTGCTGTCATCAAATAGCAGAAAATCCAGCTATGATGACAGTAAATTTACAGCTGTTTTAGAAAAAAGGATTTCAACGGCTGAACAAGCGACATATAACTGTCAAATGAAGCAGATATTTCCGTTGCACAACATAAAAAATATTGACGTTAATAAGGTGCGGAATTAGAGTTCTCTCATGAACGACTTTTTTCTTATAGAAAACATTAATGATGTATTGTACTGTTTGATCACACAATAAACTGAGTTTTACCTGTCATATACTAACAAGAGAAGAAGAGAAAAAAAAATCTTTCTTAATATGCATCGATTGTTATAGGTTAAATTAGTTTAAAAAGTTCTCACTCGAGTTCGTTGTTTTTTCCACTTTTTTTTTTATTTTATTTCATCAGTATACCTTTTTTTCTTTTCATTTAAAGTGAAAGAAAAATACATCAACGTTCATTATTAGATATAAATTATTTAACAGAATAATGATGTTACCCTAGATATCGGGCAAGAAGTCTCGTACACGATGTTCAGAGCAAAGGTAAGACGAATATTTTATCATCTGAAAATGTTTTTATTGACGTTAGTGTTATAATTTCAATATAAATTCAATAAAACATGGATACTCTTTATATTGCAACTTCAATGTAAATCTGTTCGATAAATCGAAGCGATGAATACACTGTGAAATACGAGATTCATTTCTTTTATAAAAACTACACTTCAGCTGCCTCAAACGCAACCTCATTTTTGATCAGTAAGAAAGTATTTCCATGTATATGCCGGGATGGTTTATAAAAGCGGGCTACGACTGAAAACATGCAAAAAAGGGATGAATAAGACTATCTGAGATGAACAAAGCGGAATAAAAAGAATTTTGATTTCGTTTCTTGGATGAATTGATTTCTGTCCTTTGGACAGGTTAAAAAAAGAGGAACCAATTGTTTGTTACTAATGGGATTTCTAACTTCCATATCTATCTCAGTATATCTTGTGGACAGTGAATGGACAAGTCGTTATTTATACAGAAGTTCAGCTCTTTATAAATTTGATTGATTTATGTATTTGACTTAAATGAATTTAGCAGATTACAAGTAAAATACAAACAAAGTTGACAAGTATAAACTAAGAGAAAGTATTCAAAGAGACGATGCGAAATGTCTGCTGGAGCAGGGATCAAAAGTCTAAGAAGACTTTCTTCTACAGTAAGAGGTAGATGTTACTAAAAAGCAGCAAATTTTGATAACACAGTTTATGATCTAACAGTTTATGTTAGATTAGGAGCTTTTTACATTAAATCGGCGTTTATACCAATATACGTTACTTAAGAAGTATTCCACTAGCATTATATGTACTGAATTTGGGTTACTAGCTCCCATTTTGCAAAGCTTGTATCTCGGTTAAAAATAATCGTAGAAATGTCATTCTTGCATTGCTTGATAGCCAATGATCTCTTGGGATAGTTTTGTGACAGAAAGTTTAAAAAAAACTTTCTTAGGACATTGATTTATAATCATTTAATGCTAATGAATGCTAATTAGCATCACTCTGATAGCTTACACTTTTATTTGTAGACTAACACTTCATTGTAAGTCATCGAGTAATACATCATTCAATAGAGATTTTCAAGTGCTACGAAACCTTGTATTTGTCTATTCGAAAAATATAGCAGTTAGTTTAACCCGTTTTTTAGGCGCACCTGATTTCTAAGAGGGTTACAGTGATTGAAATAAGTATTCGGACATTGCAAAACGTTTTTTTGTGGACGCAATATCGCTTGGAATAAAAGAAATGAGAAAATTATTCTTTTTTACCGTTGGAAAGAGCGTGAGAAACTACATTAGAAATAGTTGCTAAATTTTCTCCGCTCATTTTAATTGATTTTCTATATGTTATCATATCTAGATGATCATGTCTATTGTATTTCGAATTTTTTGCCTTAAGTCTTTTTGACATAATAAGATTAAAGTTGACAGCTGAGTTACAAATACTATCTTTATCTCATTTCAAAGAATTTCGCT